AGATTATAAAAAGCTATGTTCTTCAATCATCAAGGATTTTTAAAGCTTTATGGTAATTATTTTGCAAAAAAAGTCCAGTTTTAAAGTACTTTATTAATTTTATTTTATCGAAAATGATCTTAAGAATTCCAGGTAATAAAATGAACGCTTCTAAGTTCTAGAAGATAGAACATACATAAATATATTTTTTCTAATGTTAATTTTTTACTAAACAAAATATTTGTATTATTTCAATATAAATTAGTAAATAATTAGTGTTTTTGTTAGAGTAATAAAATCAAATTTATCTTTGCCATTCATAATACAAACATGATTAAGATAGGACTGTAGCATATATAAATGTTAAATGAGGCTTATATTTGTAAATAATAAATGATATCATCGGAATTTAACTAATAATTTTTTATCTATATATTCAAATACTAACATAATGCGTATAAAATGTTCGACCACGAGATAATTGGTTTTCTTGAGATCAAAAATGTACTTATAGCTAACATTTATACTGTCATATATATTTTAGAAAAATGTCCACATTTTAATATTTTACTGGATCTGTTTGAACCAGTATAATCCGAACCTATCCTATTCGAACAATAATTATTAAAAAAAATACATTTTTTTTTCAAGTATATCAAGTATACACTTGAGTTATTCAAATTTTGAACTCTAACTACTACTTGTATAATTGAAATTAATACTATGTAGGGCTCTACAATAACCATAACTTTTTATATGTAGTTTTTAACTAGAAAAATATTTGAAGATGCTTATGAATTACAATCGGTACATCTATCCAAAAATATCGAAAATTATGTTGATACACGTGCTATGTGCTTGGCTTGGGTTAAATATTAACTTACAATTACTTGTTAGTATTGTTATGACATCATTACCATAATGGACAAAATAGTGTTGTAAAAAATTTATATTTAGGGAGAAGTCGTATTACAGGCTACAGTAATGGTTTATTGTAAGCTAAGATTTTTGTCATTCATGTGAGTTTTTTTTGTTCGCAGTTTTTCATAATAATAGTTGTATTGTAAACGACGCCTCGTGCACAGATAGCCTCAGTGGAAGACGTGTGGAAAATGTGTGCAGATAAATACGACAAATCCAAAAGTAAAAGTTCCCATGTTCAGTTGGCTGTTATTGTGATGTGCTGACTGTTAGAAATAAATTCAGGCGGCGACGGTGGAATGCGTCTAAGACTTTTCGCGACAATTATTGTAATCCAGAAACGAATATGACAATAATATTATAATAGTGTCATGGAAAGTAAACACACAAGGTTGTCTAGAAGTCAACGTTTAAAGAATTTCGGCGCATTTAGTTCTGTATTTCATGTGTTTGTTTTTTTAGTCTTTGTCTACATTTGCATTTTGTTATTATTATTATTTTTTCTTGAGTCACCTTAACTAGATCGCATAATCGATTGTTTTTTCCCTGTCTCGTCGGCAGTTCCGCATCTAAGCGACGTTTTTATTGTTATTATTATCAGTGATATTACATTTATTTTATGGTTAGGTACAGAGCAAAAAGTACACGGGGTTAAAATATTTCCATTAAAATGTCTACGAAACAACAATAGTTTAGAAACAAAATAGTAATAAGTAAAAAAAAAATTCTTCTTAATCCTTCCACCTAGACCACTTACTATTGTCTAGACACGCGATGTTACATATTTTACGTATTGTACAAGTCCGAAACTGCCGCCGGTTTGATAATAATATGCAAAGGCGATCGACGAACACAATTGAAAAGCAGACAGTGATTTGTTATTTTAATTTTAATAACATTAGGCGACTTCGACCGGCGAGCCTAAATAGGTTCGTCTAGCATAGCTTTTATTTTTTTTACCATTACTATTATTACATAATGGTGTCTACCTGTCGGAATCGTTTTCGAAATTTATGTGCACCGACAGCAACAGACGCAGTCGATTTTATAATACCCGAACCTAAAAAATCATAGTAGCATAATATTCGATGACTATTTCGTCCGTCTAGTCTGTCGCATACCAAAGCCTAGACGGCTAGTTAAATGATAATAAAAAAAAAATCTTATTGTTTTGCTCTTCGAGCAATTCACTAAGGACATCGCGATACCAATGGAAAGAAATAAAAAATATTGTCGTTAAATGATAATCGTTAGACTAGACCGCCCAAATTCAATACAACGTCCGTAATATCTCTCCTAGACAAAAAACCAAATTATTCACAGACTACGTCTATGGGCTTCCTCGTGACCAACTCTACATGACCAGCCTCAATGGTTTTATAACCAACGCTCACGACTCGTTTGTGTATTCGTCGATAAAATAGCAATTAATATAACACGTTTTTATTGCTGACTTAAAATAAAAGTAAATTATTTCGGATAATAATTTTGACATCAATTATAATATTATTATAATTCCCAACAATAACATAAGAAAGTGGTTTCGGCTAATCTACTGGCCTTGTTATAAAAAATTGTTTTGGATGCTCTTCAACGCAGTCGGCGATATTTTCATAGAATCGATTATAAGGATATAAACGTGTCAATGATGTTCTGTTCGACTTCATCTGTCAGCAGCTTTTGGAGTTAAATAAACACATTTTTCCAGCTTTGATCTGCTACTGAATCTTAATGATTTTTCTGTGAAGTTAACAGAATAGCAAAACTCGTAGTCAAAACAAAATAAGAAAAAAGAAATCCTATGCATTTCACATGATTTATTCGTGCGGATTGCAGTCAATTTATTTTCCAGGTGAATTTCGCACGGACAATTTTAGTGATGTAGAACATTACGGTTTGGGAAAATCAGCGTTTTTGTTCAAATTGCGTTCTCATTTCGTGCACAAGTCTAAAACGCACTCAGACATAAAATGAAATAAAAAAATCAAATAAAACAAATGAGAGAATTTCAAGTGACCGTATAAACAGGACGTTGATCACGGTTTTTTATCGTATCGAATTATCGTACCGAATACTATTGTTTTTCGACAAATTTTAATATTAATTTTTTTATTTCCCTAAGAAAAACGCTGCGGTTGCGTAAACTTCAAGTCAGACTTGTGATATTTGCATCAGTTGCCCCGGATGTCCTAGCTGATAAACGCTCGGGTTTCTTGAACCAAAAAAATTAACAAAACAAGTATATAAATACACGCGTATCTATGAAAGGTATGCATCTATATAGACACGCTCACACTCAAGCACGTATATAAATATATATATATAAATTAGTTTTTTATTCTATATCTATTTATAAAAACTACAGCAATTGCTGTGGGTTTTCAATGGTACGATCTAGGGACGTGGCAAACATATACGAATTTCAACTAGGGTAAACTTACGATACTTTGAGTATTTTCGTTTATTTTTTTTTAAATTATGAGATGGTATCGACCGTCATAAATCAACGTAAACAAGCTGCCCAGATTACAGCTGAGTGTATAATTACACATGATATTATTGTCTATGCCGGAGCAATACTCTCTTAATTATTTTGATCCCTCTTGACCACTTTTGGAAGTATGAATTGTATATGTATAAACCTGTTATATAGGGGGGGAATGATCGGATTTAAATAGTCTGGTGTCAAAGATGTCGAATTTTTAAATCAAATAAAATGTCGTTTGTTAAACATTTTTAAGATTTTCTTAATATTCTGAATTATATGATGTGGATACTATTGATCAATTACAAAGTTTATAATAATGAACGATTATAAAATAAATAAGACTTTATTTTAGAGATTAAACATTAAGTGGATTGATAAATTAATTTTTTTTATTTTCAGTTTAACTATAATGATTGGGCCTTATACAAATAACGATAGGTCAAATTTAATGTGCCTATAACAAATGTAACAACATAAAGTGAAATACGATTTCAATGCATCTATCCCATTGACAGTCGTAATTGCCAATAGGCTTTTATTTATTTATGTTAAATAATTTAAGTACAAATAAATCTTGATTTTAATACTTAATAGTTAGATTAACTACTGTGTAATTGTTGTAATCTGCGTGTAGCATTCAAACATCTCATTGTATTAATCTCGTATATTTTTGTTAAAAGAAAGTCTTTAACTATTTACACGTATGAGTATTGACATCAAGTGTACTTTTAACAAATGATTATTTTGTTGTTCCAGATCAATAAAAAGTAGATAAATCATTAATTATATAACTAATAATATTATTTCAAATTTTTTAATGGAATTTTTTGGCAATTACATAATTGAAAGATTTTTACTCAGTGGCAATAGTTTAGTTTTCTTTAAGCCTACCCTTAAACATGGTTAAAATAAAAATATCACATCAGTAACTTTTTTAAATTTAATTATAGTTCATTATGTTTGTCGTATAGGTAATTGCTTAGTAAAAAAAAAAAAAAACCGCTAGGTATTTTGTGATAAAAAGAGTTAGATATTTTCATGATACCTTATACGATAAATTTTAAATTACTTTGTAAAAATTTCAAGCCTTATAGTTATAAATATAATATCATTTAGTTGTTTGTAGCAATTATGCCGTAATTTATTATTATTGAATGTAACAAAATAAATATTTTTTTAATTGTTATAAATTTTTAAATTATAATAGTGAAGTTCAATAAATTTAACTGGAATAAATTAAGAACTTTAATTATCCTGAAAAACTTTGAATAATGAATTAATGTCATACTCTATACAGGAGTAGTATAGACTACTTAATACACGCATGTTTAAGACATATATGAATTAATGAGCAAAGTTTAAACAGCAATTTTAAAAAGTAGTACTGTGTGATATCTTTATTGGCCGACCTTTTACATATTTCTTGAATATTATAAGGTAATAAAACCAAACGTGCATTGTTTAACAAAAATAATTGGAACAAGGATGTTATTTGAAATGACAATGATAATTCATATTTGTTATTATCACATTAGTTGATAATGATTATCGTTCTTATATTTTGTTATCATAGAGTGATATTTTTGATAAGAAAGCAGTCTTTAGCATAAGGTAGAGTGGCTAATGGTCGGTTAACTGCTTTTATATTTTAATTGGCTAAAAATGATTGTATTATTTCTATAGGCATAAGCTATAAATACGTTACGTAATAGTTAAAGTTTTCATAGTACCTATAGTTTCCTAACCTGTGGGCTGAGATTAAAAGTTTTTAAAATAAAAATAACACTCGGTTGTACCAGATGATTATTGCAATGGGTAATAATATAATAAGTTTATTGTTTCAAATGAAAATTTGTGATTATTAATTCGTTTTTATTTGGATCGCTAAATAATTAGGCGTTTTAATGTTATGCTGTTTCGTGCAGTGATGGTTTTTATTAGATTCCCTTTTTATTGGTTCAGTATTATTAGTTTGTTGCTAATAAACGTGTGCTCGAAAGGTTTCACTTAATTTGAAAAAATAAACATTGTGTATTGTTTGCTTGAATCAATTTTTATGATGGAAGACTATTGGAAAACAGTTATATGTAATCGACTAAAGAATAGGAACATAAGAGAACTTGATGGCTATCAAAGCCTTATTAATTTTTGTGAGAATTTTTTTAAATTTTTTTATTTTGCCATAAAAACTCAACAATTACATTTTATATATTATCCTAATTTTAGATAATAAGTTGTATGAAAGTTCATTACTTTTGCGAGCTCAAAATTCTAAATTAGAATCACAAATTTTACGAGGAAATTCTAGTGGTGATCTAATGCTTACAGAAAAAATCTCTACATTAGAACAGAAATTACTCATGCAACAGGAAGAACTAACTGAATTACACCGAAGACGTGGAGAAAACGCTCAACGAAGTATTGATTTGAATGCAAAACTACAACAAGCTGAAAAATTATTACTTGATAAAAATAACAGGTTTGTAAATTTATAATATTTTGGATTGTATTATTATTTTTTCATAATAACTTATAAATATACATTTATTTTTAATTTGTGAAATATATAGTCAAAATTTAATTTTCCATTAAAAATAATTTTATACAAATCATACAATTCACTTATGCTATCAAAAATCATAAATAAGAAATTTACTACAATTTCTATAAAATATTTTAAAATAATTTTTATAAGGATTAACATATCTTCTTAATATATTATTATTATTTAAAACATCTTAAAATTACTATTTTAAATACAAATATTATTATTATTATTATTATTATTAATGATATAATCATTATTCATATCAATATTAAAATTTATTTTTACATTTTCTTTTTTAAAGAAATAATATTGTAAATTAATAATTTCGTAAGTTTGATATATTTATAGAAACTTTGTACTAATAAATATAATTTTCTTTTATTGGCATTTATATAATAGTCGAGAAAATAAAAATTTTGATAATTATACTTAATAAGTAGTTGTATACTTTAATTTCTGGTGTTTTGATTGTATATTTAATAATTTAAGACTGCTAATTTTATTTTTAACATTAAGTAAAACATAATTTTAAAGTCATTTAAGTAATTTTTTTTTCTTATTTGTATTTTTTACAAAAAAAATATTATTTTTGAATTTTAATTCCTAAATTGTAAGTTTTTATGTTATTTTGTAAATATAACATTTATTGCAGTATCTTTTGTATAATAGTTCTGAAAAAAAAAGTTATGAAATATGTTAAACATAATATATTATTTAATGATATAGTGTACAAAAAATAGGGATTAGTTTTATTTAATTTTTTTTTATAATAAAAACAATATTATATACTACCCATATTTGAAAAATATTAAAAATTGCCAAATTTTTTATAAATATGAGTACTCATTATATATTAATGTGGTTCGTATATAATTTAAGAATATTGTTAAGGAAACCATGGAACAAATTTAGTTTCTTATGGTTTAATTACTAATCTAAAATATCATATTATATTTCTATGTAATATATTATAGAATATGAAGTATTAATTTAAAAAAATTATAATTGATCAATTTAATGTTTGATTAACTATTGATTATAGAATGTGAATAAATGTATATTTATTTTAAAGCAGTGACATTGAATATAAGTTTGTTCAAAATTTATCCAATTATCATATATATCTTTATTTAAAATAAATAATCAAAATGTAATTCTAATTTTCATTATTATAAAAAGACTGGTCATTGTTTAATAATATAAATTGACTTATCACAATTAAAGGAATAACACCTTGTATTTTATTTTTCCAACTTTAAAAATAACTTTAAAAGAGATCAAATGTACTAAACAGTAAAATTAATGTTTTTATTACATTTGTTTATTTGATAATAGTAAAATATAGATTCAAAAATTATAATTTAATTTTTGATCTGCCAACTCAAAAAATTTGGTGTGAGGTATTCTTTAAGCAACATTATGTAGTTGTATAATTTATTTAATTTTCATACATAATTTTGTTTTTTTCTCACATTGTTTATATTATATTTTTAAAATAGTAAAACTCATGTATGTTAAAAAGTTAATTTTATTTTTAATTTTGTGTTATCATTAATAATTTTTTATTGTTTAATTAATTTATATTATACATAAATATAATCAACTTTTAGTGTGAATTTTAGCGATAATTAAAGTGCTTATATTCTGATAAAATTTCATGACATATTGAAATTATTGTGTAATCAAATTAATTAAGTGCAATGGATTATTTTTCATTTTTTTCAAGCTTTGTAAAATACAAAGGGAGTTTTAATAGTTTGTACACAATTATATATTTAGATGTATTAACATTCTTTTATTAATTAATTCATTATTATGAAATATTATTAAAAAATAAAATATATGTATTGGATTTTTACAATTGTCACACATGATTAAAATTTTATTCCTCAAATAGTTAAAGCACTTAAATATTTTATTTTATATTTAACTATAATCAAATCCAAGATTTAAATTTTCTTATTAAAAAATTCAATTTAATAGCATAATTATCTAAAAAATTAAGAATCTAAATAAATAATGCGCAATTATATATTTTTTAATTAGTAATAGCAGTTTTTTGTTAATATTCAAACTATGTTTACTTTAGAAAATATTTCCTGTTGATTAATTTTTCATCTTATTATAACTCAATAATATAATTTGTTTTGAATTGATTAGATTTGAAGACTTCAATCTAGTATATTTATTTAGAAATATAATTAATTTACTTAAAAAAATTGTATTATTACACTTGTGTTTAAATATATATTGTTTATGTATGCAAGCTAATATATTATTCATTTATAAAGTAGACTCAGAAAAAAATTGTAATTTTTATAATCAAATAATCTATTTATTTTTTAATTTTTTAACGATAAAGTTTCTTTGTTTATAAAATACTTGTTTTATTAATTAATTTTAAAATAAAATACATAGTTTTATACTGTTAAAAATAAATAAGTTCAATTAGTTAGTATAACAAACTAAAAATAAATATTATTTTAAATATATTAAATATTCGTAAATAGTACAAAATGAGAGTTCGATTTATAAATTATATACTCATTTAATTTCTTTTTACCAATTATTTTATAAATCTTGTTTTTTTATTGTTTATCTTTGTATTCAATGTTTTAGTATGATGATGAACTACGTTCAAAACTTTGGAAGGGATCATTTAATTTTTAATACTAAGACTATGTATATATATATGTATGTATTTTTTATAATACATATTTTTTATATAATTGAGTGTACATTTATCTAGGTATATAATAATTATCTAAGTACATAATTTAAAAAATATTATTTAATAATTTTCATAATAACAGTTATTTATTTTAAATATACACCTATATATATTTGTCAAGGCCGTATTATCTATTGGGTGTTATTGGCATTGTGTCTAAGTCCTATAAATTATTATGTATACTTTTTTTTACTGAACACCTATGATAAGATTAAAAAAAAATAATTTTTTTCATCTATTAGGTTTTGAAAATGGTTTGACTATTCCAAAGTCTGAAGAACTTTTTTTTGAAGTACTGTGTAAAATTATGATTTATATATATATATATATATATTATCTATTAATTAATTAATATTTTTAAATATTATATTGACATAAAAAATAGTTAATTAATTTTGGTTACAGTCTGACAGAAAACACTAAATTAATATCAAGTCTTCGAGCTGAAATATCATTATATCAGAAAAATAACAATGAGTTGAAACAACTTAATCAAGTTTTGAAAGATGAACACCAAGCTCTTCAACTGGCTTTTACTAAACTAGAAGAAAAATTACGTAAATCTCAAGTAATTACTCAAAAATCATTAATAAGTTTTATTTATGCTACTGTCATTTAGATTAGTACTGTACTTATGTTTAAAATGTTTATGTATTATCTAGTACATATTTATTATGTCATCATTAAAAGCAAAGTAGGAGAAATATTATTTTTCACGAGGCTAAGGTGAAGTGAGGTAATTATAAATGCATTTTTTTTTATAAATGTACAAGTTCTTATTTTAAACTTGCATCTAATATGAAAAAATATACAAAAGGACCTTAATGTTTCAGTTTAAAATAAAATCTGTTACCTATTCTAAGAGAAAAAATGTATTTATATGTACCTCNTCAGTTTAAAATAAAATGTGTTACCTATTCTAAGAGAAAAAATGTATTTAGATGTACCTTACTTCACCCTAATTGATGCCCTTAGTTTTTTTTTAAATTTAAGACAGTTCATTGGATTAATATACTTTTAAATCAGAAGATATAAGAGATATATTAGCTCATTTATGTGAGTCCTTGAAAATGCAATATTCAACTTTTTTTTTTAAGGATGGTTGAACTGTAATTTTAAATATGTTTAATTATATTTGTAAATTGAAATAGTATACATTTATGGCAGTGGATTTATGGTTAGCTTAAAAAAATTACTTACCACTACTAATGATTATCTCTAATTTTTATTTTTGAAGGATAACTATATTTTACTTTTTTAATTTTAGCATTATTGTCATCGGAAATAAACTGTGTTCTTAGTTATTTTGGTGCTATGTGCTTCATTTTAAGTTATAAATCTCAATTGTTCATTAGATGTCATAGGTAATGAAACTGTATTTATTAAATGAATGTACACTAATTGTGTCAAGTGTAGAAGCGAAAAAGTTAAATAAAAATTAATGAAATATAACATCTGGAAAAAAGGTCAGAAGGTTTTCATTTCAATATTATTATAGCTGATTATTTTGATATATTTTCTTTCCCTTTAAATGTGTTTTAATTGGAGACTTGAAGGAATATGCAATATGAAAATAAACTAAATATTTCAATGACTAGTGAAAGAGATATAACGTCATAACTAATAACGTATGCTGCTTGCAGTATGTGTAAATATTGTCCATAGACATTAAGAATAATTAATAGTCAGTTTTATTCCAACAAAAACAAAAATATTTTCATATTTCCATATTGTATGTGCAACTAATAATAGAGACAAAAAATAAAATACAATTTTAGAAGCTATTAATATATTGAATATTTTTCACGCTTTTAATGCCAATTCTAGCGTCACATTCCAACAATCTCTTCGGTTTTATATAACGTCTTAAACTTCTTCGAAAACATTTTACTTACTTGATCTATTCAATTAGTTTTTAATGATTAATGCGCATTAAGTTTAGTAGTTCCAGTAAAAAAAGATTCATCTGCACCCTCTTCATAAAGATATAATAAGTAGAACTCACTCGGTGTATTGGCCTCTAAAAACATCTTAGATTACTCAATGAAATGTTTTTAACAATGAGACAGAGTTCAAGATTATGGATGGATATGAAATGATTTTTTTAGCAGATAATCTTTTACTCAATTTTTTAAAAATATTAAATTGTATACTATAATTTTAATATAAATATTATCATCGTTATTTAGTAAAAAAAGTAAAATTTTAATTTATTAAAATAATAATACATCGACTTAAATTAAAATTATTCTGAACTATCATACCTCGTAAAATGTTAAAAAAGCTACAAAACAAGATCTATTGAAATACTATTTGAAAATAATAAAATTATTAAACATTGATATGTTGTATGACATGTTATGTTGTGCGTTAAAATTATAAAACTCATGTTCATTAAAGAGTAATTGTTAATCACATGATTTTCTCTAAAAACGC